TGGAAAATTTCATAACTCTGTAAATTTTGATGTTTAAAGAATTTAAATATTTAATACAACTTTAAAACGTTATCCCCTATATGTGTGTTCATTTATTGTCGCGATGGTAACGACACGCTGTATATTTTGAAATGGCCCTGACATTGGTCAGTGCAATAAAAGTTAGCACTAAGTTTGCTTTCAAGATTTAGTCGCTTTAAAGTTGATTAAAAAGCTTTAGGACGTATGGAGCACTTTGGCGGGTGATTAAACTTAACGGCACACGCAAGCAGACTACGGAATGAAGGTCATAAGTCGGGTAACATTATACTTTATTGTCTTGTCGATATAAGTGATAAATCTCTAGTTTGTGGATATTATCCTGGTTAATTTTTAGGGCTTAGTACTTACAAAGTATAAAAGAAACACTAATAAGATCACATCATTATAAGTCTATCGGTCCGTGCCCTTTTTCTCAGCAACGCGTGAAGGTATCAAGATACTTAATATCATATATTCGGAATGCTGATATGCCTTAGAGCTGTGAAAAGAATTGAATACGCCTATTTAAATGCCGCATATTTTGTCACCCTCAAAGGAATCAAAACATTTAGAGTACTTTCACTTGACCTATAACTTATTTGTGGATTTTTATAGACTTATTTGCTGTTGCAAAATATAGCATAAAATAAAGCTTGTCCCTCATTTCTATTTGTCTTTTCGTTAGAGCTATATTTGTGGTTTCTTTAGTTTATAAACTTAATAGTAAGAATAATTTTTATATCTATATGTTTATTTTTATTCATAATATTTATTTTATATATACAATATATATCTATACGTTTATTTTTTATCTATAAACCCAACCAGACGAGAAAACAAATAAATATCCCCAACAGAATAATGTTACTTAAAACTTAATAATGACGTAACCTAATTATTGTACAATTTATCCTAACCAAGCATTACATAAGTCACACGTCGTTTTGTCCAACTTCGATAACAAAGCGGTACTTCATTCCCTTTTCAATCACCGCTCAAATATCTGTTTCCAATATTATAATAAAGTAATAAATAACTTTGAAATTCCACAATTTCACGTATACTGACACCAATATTGTAACTCTGTAATTTTTTACTGTGGTAGGGCCACGCAATAGTATTTACTGTTGCACGAATGGGCAGGTACGTCCGGGTAAGTACCACGACCTCACAGAAGACCAGCGTAAAGTGGAAATATAATACTTTCGCTTTTCGTCTGGTGAGTGGGGTAGCCGGAGCCCACTTTATTTAAAGGTGGCAGCACTTTTGCAAACCTACGGGTGTTGCAAATGTTCATGGGCAGCGGCATGCAACTTAGCATCAGGTGAACCACCAGCTTATTTGCCACTTTCTCAGATAAAAAAAAACTATACAAGTTTGTACGAGTTACACTCGGCTGTTTTTCAATTAAAAATACCTTAATAGAATCAATAGAGCTTGGTGCAGTTTCATGAATAGCAATTGACTCGTTTTTCGTAACAGCGCTTTGGATATGAAATTTGTCTCCAAAATTTGTGTCTGTTTAAGAAAAATATTTAAAATGTACCGAATTATTTGAATAATTTCAACCTTTGGGCTTAAAACTCTTAAATGATATTACTCTTATTAAACTGGAGCACGGGAACACTGAGTCGCGATTTGATTTGTGATTCATCTTTTGGGATTTAAAAAAAATGGTCAAAAAAGTTCAGATTTACCATTATTCATGTCATTATTATAATCGTCTCATTAAAGAAACGTCAATGAGATGGAAATTGCGGTCGCTGCAGCCGTTTTGATTAAAATTTATTTATTTTATATTCATTCACTCGTAAAGTCTGAGTGATTCATTTCACGGAATGTTAATTACAAAGTTTAATTTCCTGTATCCATCCAAAAAATTTAACGCATTTATTCATTGACAATGTGCAATACATTTATGGTTGTATATTATAGCTCGTTATAACTAAAACTAAATTTAAAATATTTAGTTTCTAACAGTTCAATAATTTAAAACATCAGCAGGCCCAAATTTAGTTAGAAAACGAGGCAAAAACTTATGCATGCAATGATGAATCCGCTTCTGAAGTTGTCGCAAACACCTCTCACTAAATAGGGAGTCTGGAATGATGCATTAATAAACGTAGATACAAAGTATTCATTTCGTTGTTCCGTCGGAATCTATCTCTCAACGTAATTAATGATACAATAATGTGCATTCCACTGCATTTGCTCGACAAACTTTCAAAGTGGTTGTTTACTGTTTAAACCACGTCTAAACTTAAAGATATACTTATTAAAACACCTCAAAATATAAATTATAAATAAAAGTATAGTATTTTAATGGAGATTTATAAGTTACATTTGTATATATATTTAATATTATAGTTATTTTCTACCTGCACCGTGTTAATTTTTCTTAAGTAAATATCGACTGTCTTAACCTACACGTAACACTAACAATAAAATTGAAGATTTCAATGTAGATGTTAAATTTACCTAATTCTTTATTAATACTTTGCAATCATAATAAATTACCATTTGCAGAATAATTGTATGTCCATTTGAAAGTTTCTTTTGAATAGGCTCAAAAACGTCTCAACAAAATTTTATTTTATATCCCGTAAATGTTGTATGGTTCAAAAGATATGAGTAAAAATGTATATTTACTTTAAAGACTTTATCATTTTGAATGCCTATAATACTCAATACTGATTCTTAACTATAAGTAAAATGAAAGGCGCCTATTACTAATTGAGGTTTATTATTTAACGCGATTAAGATAAGAATTCAAGAAATAAAATAAAAATTTCTTTTCTATCACCCATCATCATCATCCTCCTGCCCTTATCCCATTTAGGTGGGCTCAGCACAATATGCGAATCACGCTGTAAGCGGTTTTGGTTGTATTTTTACGACCTCTGAGTCCCACAATTCATAATATACTTGTCTCGTGTGGGCATCGAACCCACAACCCCCGATGCCATAACCAATAGCTTAACGACGGTGTCTCCGAATCATTTTTTATCACCCATCTAATTTAAAAGTATATAAATAAATAATTAAACACTTAGGCTATAAAAAATCCTATGTGTGTTTAAAGTTAATTAATGAAAACTTCAGCTACATTCATTTAATATTTTATGAGCAAGTTCATTCTTTACTATTATACTACGTTGGATCTCGTTTTCGGCTTTCTCTTAAATGACTGCGAAAATTTCTTTTTAATAAATCAACGTTTTATAGCAAATAAAATAATGCTGTTAACGCCAATATTATTCTTACTTTTATCATCTGGTAATAATGGCCTAGTACTTGGGACGTTTGAAGTGAGTTTTTCATTTTCCAATTTCTTGAGTGTTGACTGTTTCACACGTTTGACTAGTGCCCAGCCAAAGACCCTCCGTGTTCAAAACTTAAAAAGCTTGATAAAAAGTTAATAGAATGTTAATAGCTTTCACTTTCTACTCAGATAGGAAGGTGTATTTATTGGTAAAAAGACATTAAGCAGTTATTTAGTCTGAGCGAATATTTCGTTTCATGCTGTAATGTTCCTATGGCATGAAATGTGCGGAATGCCATTAAATAAAACTCACAAATGTGCTCACTGTTAATTGTATTTACATCAGAAGAACTTTAGATATGTTCACAATATTTTCACCCTTAAAATAATGTTATTGTTAACAAAGCAAATAGACCGTTGTCTTCTCAGCGGCCAGTCTCGAGGCAGAGGTAACTCCCCGGTCGCCGACCAATCAGAGGCGACTCGTTTGCAAACCGCGAGTCGCGCGCTTTTGCGCGCTAAATTTAAAATAGACGCGGCGGTTGTTTTCATCCGCCACATCCCTTAATAGCTCCTCGAATGATAGAGTTTGTCATTGTGGTTTTCTCCGGCTGACTCAAACAAATTTAGTGAGACAACAGCGAGACTTTGTGACCCCGAGTCACGGGGATAGACAGAATTTATGTTCAATAGGCGCAAGCCCGCCTCGTGTAAGACAGGATAATGCTAATTCTAGGGGATTTACTTAATAGAAACAAAAGTATATTTCTTACAAAATCTCGGAGTTTATTAATGCAACATAAGCATAACATAAAAGGGACATGGTTGATGCTTACATTTAAGCTATATTCTATGTTACAAAAGTTAAAGAGAAAGCTCTCAGTACTCAAACGATTATCATAAAAAATTGATTAATATTAACTTAACCGCAGTTACATATCTATATAACACATAAACGTGTTTCTTATGGATAGGAGTTAGCTTTCCGTACAGATAAAAGCAAACCCAAAGGGAGTACTCAGTACATCCATCTTTGCCTCTTTAAGTTCACATGAGTATGAAGACCTCAGCAATCTTCTACTAAAGGCGACCTGAGCCTGCAAAACGAATGAACTTTAACCTAACTCAATACGAAGTGGCACAAAGTTAAATTCTGTCCCTTTCACTCGTTTGTCATGCGTTTTTTATCGAATAGCAACCGAACAAGCTTTTAGTAGCTGGGCGTCTTTTGAAGAGATCAAGCGTATTTTAACATTGTTATTTTAAAATGTTCGACGAATCTTCTATATATGATTCTTTTGTGGGATAAAACTACCAAACTTTAGAGCGACTTGGTAGGATGATCGTATTGGATCCAAATTTTGAGAGAAACAATATAGAATGGTTCTTTATACAATAACACAAAAAAATCTATGTCATTCAAAGTACAAATTGAAATCAACGCTAGACACAAAAACATTTTTTTAGACGCATATGCGCAAATTTTATGTGTTTTTTAATGTTTCATTATGTTTTTACGAAAACATGATTTTATATATTTCACAATGTTTAATTCTAAACCTATTGTCATTAATTGCGTCGTCTTCATTGTCACTGTCAATGTCAAGTCAAACTGTCAAAGTGTCAAACTCAAAACCAGCGTGTAGCGCAGTAGGGTTTATTATTTTATAAGTTTTTACACCATTGTATTTTGATATTAATTCAGCTTTCTTAAACAATGGCTCAAGGAAAGTTAAAAGTAAAAAGCAAATTGCCATCTGGTGCAAAAGTAAAGAAAAACAAAGGGAAAGCTGTAACAAAACGCAGCAATGCACCTAAACCTAGCAAGACCAATAAAGCCATTGAGCGTAATAAAATGAAGGCCAAAGTAACGAAGATGGTGAACGCAGTAGCTGAACAGCAACTCCGTGCCCTGGCTACTGACAATCCAAAGCTGTCAGCTGCACAACAAAGAGTTGCTGCAGCGCCAACTGCACCAGCGCCTGCCAAATAATCAAACCTTGGATTGTAAAATGTTAGGTATTTTGAACAATTTTTTAAGATGGACTTATATTTAATACGTTGAAGAATTTGGAGAAGTGGTTAGTTTTGACAAATTATTTAACTTTATTTATTTTCACAAAACTCAAAGAACTAACTACTCTACGATGGATTGTCTTGATATTTCTTGCCAACATGGCTATTGAACAGGAGAGTATCATCTTATACTTTTCACTAAGACGTTCCAACAAAGCCAAAGCAAAGTGTGGTTGGAGCTTCTAATAATAATAATATATAATTTTATTAATAGCTTCTTAGTTATGTAATAACTAAGAAGCTATTAATAAAAATACATATTATATTTTTTTTTGTTTTGTGATATTTTATTGCTAAGTTAAGAAACTAATAGATGTATTTCCAGTGTAATGTGAATTTGTCTGTATGGTTTGAAAAACAATAAATTTTTTGTCTAAATTAATAAACTTTTTACCAATGTAAAATAAATAACTAATAACTAGACTTTTTATTATGTTAAATACTGTTCAACTAGTGTTTTCTACTAAACCATAGTTGCAGGCATAGAAGTAAAAGGAAATGTAAAATTTTTATTTTACATCCTTTGGTAAAACTTAAATCTGTTTCATTTTCCCCTTTCACTTTTCCTTTGCCTTTTAACAAGTTTGTATCATTAACATAAACCTAAATCAAATATTTAAAATTTATATACTGTAGTTCTGTAGCTTATTAAGAAAATATGAAAGAACTCAGTTTCTCGGGATAAATTGTGTTCTTTAATAACTGTTGTGAAGGTTGTAATTACTAATGTATAAGAGATGATATAATAATTATTGGAATTACAAATTACACACTCTATTGTATCCTATGTAGGTGGATTTTTTTTAAATTGTGTGCCACGGTACTTCCTCATCACTCCGCTTCTTTCCTTCCTTCTTCACATTTGAGAATGATTACTGTAGAAGCCGTGATAGCTCAGAGTCCGGGCGCTCATCTTTATTTAAATATACTCCAGTGCCGGCACCAATGAAGTTTTTAACTATAAGTGCGGACTTATCTCGTGCTCTGCGGTGAAGGAACATTGTGAGGAAACCTGCATATTTTCAAAATAATAACAAAAGAAAAATATATTTTCAAGATATGTGAAGTTCGCCAATCCGCAGTGGAGCCGCGTGGTTGACTATGCCCTGATACCCTCTGTATAGAGGAGGCCTTTGCCCAGCAGTGGGACATGTATAGGCTGTTACTTTACTTTTACTTTACTACTGTAGAAGATTTCGTAAAAAGGGGTACAAAGTTTTTACTTGATGTATTAATATGTAGATACTGTGGCTTCAAAGTGAGATGTGAAAATATTTTTCTTTTACATATTATCTCAGAAATGATCAAATCTCTCTTTTAGTTTGGCAATGCATTTTCATGTGCAATAATTAAGACTACAAGGTGAACCACTTTGCTTGACACCACTTGACGTGTAAAAACAGAACCCTTGTATAGGGTTGTATAAGTACTTCATTGGTTTTTTGAAATAACATACCAAGTCATTACAGTAATGTAACTCCAAATTATTGAATGTTTATAAGATCTGTTTGAATTCTGATCCATGTTAATAAAACTAAACAAATAAATCTTTATTTTTTTAAATACAAAACACCAGACAGTACACTACTAACAAAAATTAAATAAAAAATGAAGATAAAAAGGTATAATCAAAAGTCAAAAATGTACATGTGAATTGAATAGATCATTATTTATTTTGTTTTTATTGATTCAACTGATAAATATAATTTCATTTTTAGTGACAATTGTTTATATAAAATTCATTGTTTATTTATAGTTGTTATCTTGATTTTATCTACACCTTTATACCTATTTAACGGACTTCAAAAGGAGGACTGCATTTTTTTTATGTTTTTTACCTCAGAACTTTTGACTGAGGGAACTGATTTTCATGATTCTTTTTTTATTTGAAGCTTTCAAATAAAAAAAGAATCATGAAAATCAGTTCCCATGTGGTCCTATATAAATTTCATTGCTATTGGATCTTGGGAACCGGAGATACTTAGGAAATTTCTGAAAATCTTACTGATATAATAAACGCGAAAGTTCGTTTACAAGATAGCTATTATATTGAACAGGAGAGCGTTGTTATATGATTTTTATTCCTAAGCCACAGTGGAGGATCATTTTGAGCACAGTAAGCAAGAATGGGTAGGCACGTGGGGGGAACTACCACGGCCTCACAGAAGACCGTCATGGAGTGGAAGTATTAAACTTTCGCGTTTTGTCTGGTGAGTCAGTAACAGAGGCCCACTTTCGTAAAGGCTGTCATCACATCTGAAACCCCTGGGTTATTGTAGGTGTCCACGGGCGTAGGGATTCGTTTTACATAAGGTGAGCAACCTGCTCGCTCACACAAAAAAAAATGTTCGGATTCAGCTAGTCCTACAGTCTAGCTATATTGTGCCTCCGCAATACTTTTCATTAATTATATATGAAATTATATTTGATAACTGTTTGCTTAAACATTTAAAAAAGATTGCGTAAAGATTGTTTGCTCTATATGCCATAAGTCGATGAAGGCTGCTTGTTGAAATGTCCGCCCTGCAATCATCTGTTCTGCGTTCGAATCCCACTAGCGAGAACCGATGAGCATTCCGTTATCAGCTTCCTTAGTTGCAAAAATCGCAGTGGACTGTGCCCTAATACCCAGCCTTTGCCCAGCTGTGGGCCAAAGTATATTTGCGCTGTTTGCATATTTTCCTTTAAATAATTTAGTTTATCCATATACTATTATTTATAATTTAAATTATACATAATGTTTTGTACTTTAAATTTTGGACCATACGGTTCAGTGATTGCTATTAGATTCGTGAAAATGGAGTGATACGAACTTAACAGGCCTAAGATAGTAGAAAAGGAGGACAGAATAAAAAATTCTTTCCATTTCGATGTAAATGGATAGAACTTTTTCACGAATGTTCTTTCCATCTTTCTGGTCTCTATTCTAGAAATATAAAATCTCAATTTAATTCTATATGAATACTGGAGTAACTCATTAGAGTTTAATCTAGTCCCTAGTCATCCCATTCTCACGTTCCATGGTGAGATCAAAAGCGAGCACCCTGCAGCAAAATGTGTCTTAAGTGTGCCCCGCGTTAAGCGACAAGTTCATCATCCCGTTTGGGACAGAAGTAAATTCGGTGAAACGGAATGGCCTAAGCTATCTCAGCGTATCTCGGGGTCAAGAGACGTGAGAACTTGTTTGTTGCCCGTTTGACCCCATTTCTATCGCTAAACCGGTCACATCCTACTCAAATCTCTTATCTATAATATTCTGATCATGCTTTAATTTTCAAACCAATATCTAATGTACTAATAAGTAAATATCTTGTAATTAACCATCTCTAAGCACAATAATCATAAAAACCGGCCAAGTGCGTGTCGGACTCGCGCACTAAGGGTTCCGTACCATTATCTATAAAAACGGCAAAAAAAATATCATGTTTGTTGTATGGAAGAAATATTAAATATTTTTTATTCTGATTTTATTATTTATTGTTATAGCGGCAACAGAAATACATAATCTGTGAAAATTTCAACTGTCTAAGTATCACGGCTTATGAGATACAGCCTGATACACGGACAGACAGAGAGACAGTCCTGTTTTACCCTTAGGCTAAAGTAAGTAAGTAAAGTATACGCTTTTACATGTCCCACTGCAGGGCAAAAGCCTCCTCAGTACAGAGAGTTCAGGGCATAGTCCAACACGCGGCCCCACTACGGATGAGTATTTCAAAATTGCTTTCAATTTTTGTTCATTTTAATTTACGACATTAAAATTACCCGTGTAAACATTAAGAACTGTGTAAAACGGATCGAATTCAATTGAAATTCGAATCCTACACAAAACAATATAATTTGTTAAAAAAAAGTAGTTAAATAAATTAATCTTCAATATTTTTCTACCACTACCACTTGCATAGAGAAGTGTCATACGTACAACAGACAACCCTGGTAAATGATGCTACGCGAAAGACGCAGGCAGATTGTTTTACTGTTCAATAAAACAATGATTGGTGAATTTTAGTAAATTACATTGAATTTAAATCGAGTGTCAGGTCCCAGAGTTGGTGCTTACCTTTCGCTCCTTGTTTTACATACATATTAGTTGATATTCATTTAGTATTAGAGTTATTAAAATATGTTATAAGTAGCTAATCCACATTTTAAACATTTGTTATGGTAAATAAGTTTTGTGTTTAATTTTTTTATGCATCTAAACATGCACGCTACCATAAGTAGCGGCTGTGACATTTCATTTATAACCAGGCTTAAAGAGTATAAAAAATAACTTGAAATTAAATTATTTGATGATTACTTAAAAATATAGAACAAGGAAAAAAGTGAGATTATTATTACATTCACCATTATTTATTTTATTTCATTAGCCTTGTATTTTTTTTTATTTCAAAGTCCTCGAATAAATAGATAAATAGACGAAACAAATTTTTTTGCACAATACGGGCTATCGGGCACCTAGCTCAGTTACGACTGGTTAGACGCAGGTTAGACTCTGGCAGCGCGAATTATTACACAAATCGTCTATTAAACTCACATTTCAATATCTGCAAAACAAGCACAAAAAATAAAAATAAAATTATCTTAGGTTACATTCCAGTTTACATAAGTAGTTACCTACATAGTCATCATAGTCTACATCAGTAGAAAGGTATAAAAATATTATTGTGAACATCGTTTTATCCATACCCAATTAAATATTAATCCCAAAATATAATTAAAGACAAGGAGTAATTCTGTTTAAAATAAAATACGCTGTCATAACATTACAGTGAATAAAAAGCTCCTTTTGGGTTAACTTAAACTCAACGTGGTCGGGTCTGGTTTTTATTTAAAAATTTATAATACCTGCATATTGTGTGTATGTAGGCAACACATTCAAGGTAATGTCGCACGGTGAGTGAACGGGCGCATTTAGAGTTGTCAAACGTTCGCAAAAAATATCGACAATGACGAAATTTACTATGTGATTAGAAATTTAAATTGTTTATAGTGCTAATCTTTGCACTTAAGATTGAACATTAAAATATGTAGAAAAACCTGACGCTCTAGCCACTGAGCTAAATCAGGCCGCGAATGCCGAAGACGTGGGTTCGATTCCCACAGCGGCGACAATCTTTTCGCACTTTTTCTACATATTTTAATACTATGTGATTAGTTAAGAATTCAACGTTTATTTGGATTTAATTCCTTATTTAACTTAATTTCATGTTTTTCATATTGTTACTTTGAGTTATAGCAATTGTTCTGCAAATTTTTTTCCACAAACTCTTTTTACGTGACAGAAAACGTATCATCGTATCATTACTTTCTGCAATAAAGAAACTGTAAAATAAATCATCAGTCTTGATATTGCATCGGCCTTATAGAAGATTAACTTGTGATAAACTGGCAATAAATTAAGTTGGTTAATAATTGGTTTACTTTACCTCAGCACGGTACATTTCTGGTAGAGGATATCTGGAACGGGAAAATTGCTAGTAAATCGTGATATATCGATAGGAATTAGTTACGGTGCGATTACTTTAATTCAGTTGATATGACGTGACAACAAGCAGTAAACTGGGTCGGTAAGCTACAATTACATCAAAAGCTTTTATAAATACCCGTCTAATGTTATTTAGGTCACTTGAATTGTTTAATATTTATAATACGCCGCTGAAACTGTGATTTATTTTTATCATGACCTTTCTGGCTTTCTTTATTACGTGAAATTATTAAGTTTTGCAGCTGTTATTGAATGCCGTCCGAACTCATTAAAACTTTTCTTTTCCAAATTTTCTTTTAATTGTGAAAATAATTACAGTTTCAAAATTTTACAATGGGCCCCAGGATAAGCTCAGTAAAATATAAACAAGAGTAAGAGAGGTGACTTTTAATTTTATAAACGATAATAAGAAGTTAGACAAGGCACTTAAGTTTTAAGCAAATTAACAAAAACAAACGTTTCTGTAATTACAAACACAAGTCATTAACTTGATTGTACAGTATTCATCCGTGCCAAGTTAAGATCTTCTGCATACGAGAATTGTTAAGATTTAGGCAAGGGTTAATTAGCGGTGTGTGTAGTGTGCCAACAGTTTGGACTGTTTCCATAATAGCTATCGTAATATTATTCTATATTATTTTATATTCGCATCCCTGTTCGAATTTTATCATTTCCTTTGGTCTTTGCAATACTTGAATAACAAGTTGCTTTGATATTTCTCCGTTTGGAAAAGAGAGTTGTGGTTATCCACGGCTATTATACGATTTTTGCTGCGCCTTTTATTGATCCGAGTAATATTTTCTGAAAATATAAAGAAAATCGGTAAAAATGATGGTATTTTACTTTAATTTTTGTCCATAAAAAGCGAAAATAGTAAATGTTTTGCATTTAAATTACTCGCTTATATAAAGCAAGTATAGAAATAATAACAATTTTGAAAGTGCCATTGTTAAGGTAAAAAAGGATAATTTCTTCCATACTTCGGAAGAGACCATTGAAAGGCTCATTACTTGTGGACATGCAATAAATATAGTCAACACTTTCCACGTAGTTAAGTCGTATCAAGAATCCTAATTAGGCTCCTTGATGTACTCTTGAGATTCGTATTTAATTCAGATAATTAAACATTATAATTAAATTACATTGTATAAAGACATATCGAGACTTTTGCTAGAGGTATTAAAATGATTATAGAAACAGACGTTCCAATCAAAAAGTAATGAAGTATCTTAGCTAGTGATTATTATCACATCCGTCATTCACAACAGTCGGGAGAAAGTGTTTGCCGAGAGTGTTCTTTACCAATTTTCACTTCACTATGTCAAAATGTTTGTGAAGAAACGCTTCTGTGTTTTGACAAGGAATAACATCATTTATTCCTTGTCAAACCACAGAAGCGTTTCTTTTTAAACTTTACTAAGAACGTTCACTGTCTGTAAACGGTTTGATGTATCGATGAAAATTCAACACCACTATCGCGACAGGACATGTGGGTATCAAGAGGCGCGGGGGGAGGGGGTGATGCGCCGATTTCTCCGAATAAGATTAATAAATGCAGGCGGGGCGGGGGACACCGCTCGGCTAATGACACGCCGCTGCAGATATTTTTTATCGCGAATTTAAAACATAAACTGGTTGCGGCGGTAGCTGTGAGCGTCCCGCCCGCGCCGCGCGCCTCCCCCACCGTCGCCCGCCACCCGTAGCTTGCACTCTGCATAGTTCACCGCTCCTGCGAGCGCACCCGCAATCACCTTTGCGCGGTATCACGCCAATTCCGCCTGTAATAACCTCCGAAATAATCTATGCATGCAAATAAAAATATTTCAGCACTGACACACTTCTTGGAAACTTTAACTCTTCACCTACGTGTTACACGTGTAATGTTTGTTTATCTTTTGCGTCTGACGGCGTGTAAAGCTTGTTGGCTTCTGTGAGACAAATCTTATATACCCGAAAGAGGAAACCGAATTTAGATTATTCTCTCACTAACTTTAGCTCGTTTCCTGACCTTACACTTAATTTTTCTATAAACCTTAATAGCATTCCGAGTTTATTGGCATACAAGTTGTAATAAAATTACCGAAAGTTAATTTCATAAATTCGTCAACTGTTAGCTTTAAGAAACATTTAGACTACTTTCGTGAAAATTAATACCACATAATTATAATTCCAAATAAAGCTTCCAGTAAGTAATAGATCATTTGAATAAAATAATTAACTTCTACAAAGAGACATTCGCTCGACGTTGGCGCATGCACCCCCTATAGTCTATCCGGGCTCCACGCGGTCTAGCCTCAGAGTACTTCGACATTCCTGTCCACAATCCTTCACTGTAATTCTCGTCGCGTGGTTACTCAATCAACTTGCAATTAAATGCCAGACGACATACGTCACACTGTTATGGTTTTTCTTGCTGTTAGCACGTTCATTCACGCTGCTAAGTGCAACCTTACATCATCTTAATCACAAACGCAGTCTCCCAAGTAGCCAGCTGATTACCACGACGAAGATTCGACGACCGAATGATTGATTGTGTCGATTACTATCTCAATTCGGTCGGGCTTAAATTAACGCGCACCGGTGACGGACTCCGCGGCGGCTGCGTTAAATTATTTATGCGCTATTTATCTCAAAATGGCGGCATATCGGCGCGGACTTGGGCATGCGATTTTGAGATCGCGAGTTTCCAATAACGAGAGCCGATGAGTTTTTGATCGGATTTTTAACGTTCAAAAATCACCGTCTCCCATTTACATTTGTTGTATGGTGACAAGGCTTAGCCCTGTAGTCTCGGGCTTATAGAATAGGACTAAGGTATCCCCTGCCTGTCGTAAAAGGCGACTAAAAGGGGACACGGATGGGCAGCAGCACGAAGTGGTCTCGTGTTGCTGTAAGAGGATGAGGGGATTGTAGAAGGTTTATCCTTCTCCGAGGCGTGCGCTGGCGTTAGTACCGAGGGACACCGGTGCGTTCCATGGGAGATCCCGGAGTCCCTCCAAATGTACAGAAGGTGGCCACTGAGGAGGTTTTAGTGGGTACGAACCCCACATAACCCTGTCATGTGAAAGGTGACAGGGTATCTTTGAAGATTTTCCCCACGTATGGTGACAAGGCTTACCGCCGGTCACATTTGGGACTAGATAAGTTCGGTGAAATGTCAATACTTCTGTTTATCCCACTTACGGTCAAGCGTCTCGAGACATCGAGTCCATTGTCACCAATAATAAAATTTATATACTTAAATTTTACTATGGGTGGGCCATGCCCCAGTGGATGTTGCACGTATGGGCAGCCTTGTTCGCGGAAATACCACGGCCTCACAGAAGATGCGAAGTGGTAGTATTTATACTTCTGGTGATTAAGGTCTTGTGATCAATTTTTTAAAAGGTAGCAATAGCATGTGTAATCCGACGTTTGATATCCTTAGGTACCTATGGAGATAAAGTGAACCGTTTGCTGAGCATCTAACATAAGAAAATAAGTAAATACGTACACACGGTGATTTATTGTTATATTAATTGAGGCTATTATAGATTAATATTATTGGATGTTTTTATTGCCATGTGTAATTAGAGTCGTCAAAATAATTAGTGCTCAGGACATAGTTTGTGTTTACGGATTTTCTTAGGTTAGTTACAGGTTTTCTATGACTCTACAATTTTTTTGTCATTATAGGAGCACAACTTAATTGCAATGCGGTTGGCATTGCAATTAAGTTGTGCTAAAACTATTTTCCCCTATACACATAAACAATTCAATGAGAATACTAATCCATAAATGTGTCGCACAGATGCTGGTGTTTCCAACTGTTTAGAAAGTAATAATCGGAGCAACGTACGCCTAAGGAATTACAAATTACGGTGGAAATATTCAAGTAAAACTGTTCAATCGTATTATGGTTTTTCATTATTATTAAATCTCCCGGGGACCGAAACCAGAGGGAACAAGCGTTGTTGATAACATTTGAGTTTAAAATCTGTAAAGTTTGAAGCTTTGTTAATCAAACTTTTTAAATATCCAATTAATAAGAGAAATATGTGTATATATTATCTGCATAAAAAGATAAATCATGGCCTTGTACTTACACAAAATGTAAGATTATTTGGACGTACCTAACGTTTTTTATAAATTGATCAAGTTTCTTTTGATATTTGTTCCGCATAAAAAATGTAACGTCAACACTCGTTTTTAACAAACCTCTTTTTCGATTCAAATTTGACCGTTGTTTTACGAATCATAATAAAAATCTCGTGAGCTTTACACGTACCAAAAAGACAACGAGCTAAAACTCGTAACAATCAGGACTTTTTCATGTGTTCTTTTTTGGAAATACGCTGGAAGTTTAGATGATTTATTTTTACACTTTATATATTAGCTGTAAGTTTCACTACATGTGTAAAATAAAATAAAAATAAAATATTATTATTTCGACAAACGAAATAGGTGAAAATAAATTTACGCAATAGACAAGAATTATGATTAATTTTTAGCAGAGATACTTCACTAGCAACTTCAAAGTCGTGCGGTCATATTTCGCCCTCCGCAGCTATTTGGATTCTAGAAAGCGGTTCCCTCTTCCATTAGTCAGCTTGGACGACATCAGAATACCGCTGTGTCCAGCCAAAGGCAGGATTTACATACAGCCCAAGAAAGCGGTCGCGCCAATCAGATGGTCTCGTCTGGTTTAACGGTTCTCCACGCTGAGTGCGACTGTTTATACGGAGCCTCCGCTAACGGCCTTGGTCTCAGGATTTATCTAAGCCCCTAATGAGCACAGTGCCGCTTATCTCCGTGTGAAATTTCCGCCTATATTTGCAGATTTATTCACCAGACAGAGTTGGTTCCTGGAGTCAGCAATGTTGCACGGTGCTAAAAATTATCTGTTTGCACAGTCTAATACATATATCGGTACACAATATAGAGAAATAACACGATGTTTCATACAATGAAATTAAATATTTTGCAAATAAATAAAAATATATTTTTAGAGATTATCACAAAGCACAATGCATGGACCTTTATGGTAAACCATAATAAACTGTATAGAAATAAAATAATGCAATAAAAAATCAGAAGGTAAGGAAGTTAAACTGTTCCAAAGGTCTAATTTCATTCAATTATCATTTCCGTCAATTAAGTTTGTCATAGTAAATCTATTAATGGACTGTTAAGGGAAGTGAGTGATTAAAAATGTGCTATGGTTTATAAATTTTCTAAATTAGCCATTAAAATTAATCACTGCTGCACAACCCCGTTTAACTGACGATGATTTTCAGTTCCGTCCCGTCATGATGACAATTATATTTTACTTTCGACAACAAGATTTTTTATAGTTTCATTCAATTATGTGTACTAACTTTAATTTAATTTGAATGGAGTAAACAGCATTTCAATTTGGGTGCATTTTTTGACAACAAATATATGTATTAAACCCGACTACTATAAACGATGACATATTGTTTTTTAAAAACTGTGCGTATAAATTCCATCGAATGAAGTAGAGACATTCAACAAGGGTTTGAACTTAAAGACTTATCAATTGATCATTTATGAAAATGAGTTATATGCAAATGATGAAATTAGGTTTCGACGATATTATATACAAACTAGCGACCCGCCCCGAATTCGCACGGATGCAATGCTGGTACTAAACATATTCTACTATATTGTGCATGTTTTATGCATCTAAAAACCTGTCTTGTAAATCACTCTATCTAGTAAAAAAACACCGCATCAAGTTCCGTTGCGTAGTTTTAAAGATCTGAGCATGCATAGGGACTGACAGACAGCGGGATGAGTTTGTTTTATACTATTTCAGTTGGAGTAATTAGATTGTAATTCTGTCTCTTTCCGTATCATGCGTTCTATATCATCTGCTACATTCACTTATATATTATTTCGTATAATAATGTAAAGTGAAATAAGTTTTAAACGCCGTGTATGAACATGCGTTATCTTTTTTAAAACATCACTGGTTTAGTCATTAAAATTTATATTATAAAGTATATCTTCGAAATCTTATCGACCAAACCGCAAGTCAAAGCAATTTAGGCAATTTATTTACATACAATATGCTGCATTTTTTTAACTATATTAGGGTTCCGTACCCAAAGGGTAAAACGGTACCATATAATTAACACTGTCTGTCTGTCTGTCCGTCTGTCACCAGGCTGTATGTCATGAACCGTGATAGTTAGAGTTGAAATATTCACAGATGGTGTATTTCTGTTGCCGCTGTAACAAAAAATACTAAAAAACAGAAAAAAATATTTAAGTTGGGCTCCCATACAACAAACATGGAACGCTGCCTGCGCGGGTCCGACTCACACTTGGACGATTTTATGTTTTATTAAGTGTGTTGAATTACTCATGCGTAGAACGCATAGCTTATATGTTGTGAATATCGTCGAACAGCCTCATGCAAAGATGGTAATTCAGGCTTACATTTTTTTAGTGGAGTAAAATCTGAGTGCAACTGTTGGGCAACTTTCCCTAAGTTATGTTTTATTTCACTCTTCCAAACAAATGTTACCAGGAAATTCTCAGAAAAACTAAAGCAAACGATGGTTTTTAATAAGTTGGACACTGAACAGATCTCTTGATTCAGAGGCTTGCTTGACCACCATCGTTATCCACAGGACAGGAATAACGGCACCCAGCTATTTCAATTAGCAAAAACTCGAGCCGCTCGGTGGCTTTGTACCCGCCTGGTCCCTTGCCACTCACAAATTCCTGTTTTTAGTTTGCCACAAAGCGTTTCAGCCCGTCGTCGAATGTTGCATTCGTCGTTCATGGTGCATTATCTTGCCCGGTCGTTGTGTTATATTCATAAAACACAAACTTGCAATACGACTTCTATCCTGTTCACAATAGTTGGAGCTATTGTAACGAAACAATCAGAGATATTGTTCTTATATGTCATATACATATATGTATATACTTGTTGGTCTTCTTATTAGAAATACGATGTTGTAAAATTGTCTGCACGGTTTGCAGTTGATGGGGGCAAGCAAGCAGGCATTTTAACTCTGAATGTGTTTCGAAATTTTAATGGGGTTTTTAATGCGGTATTTATTTATATTACTTTATTTTAATCGGGTTTTTGTCTACAAAGATACCTACGCGAACTCCATTGTAACTTATAGAAGTCAAATTACGAATAATTCTTAAAGTGTTTTTTCTATTTGTTGACTTGAACAACGCCGCAAATACGTTTTACTGTTTCACTTTTAGGATTCGCCAATATATGAAATATAAGACCAACAATGAATTACTTGGTGTTAGGAACTCTCCTTCACAAAAGAGTGCTTTTGCAACTAAACAATTTATACTACACTACCTTTTAAGAAGATATAATGTTTGAGACTTAAGTTTTCACGGATTCTTTGCTCAGAAGGGGTGATCTCTTACCAGGACATTTTAACCCATCTGTACGTAATATTATGTGTTCGAATAGATAAAAATAACTCGACTCACTGGTGCTCTACGTTGTCGGCTTCGGCAACGGGGGTCGTGAGTTCGATACCCACTATGGACCCCATAGGACTAGTATTGTGACTAGGTGCTTGTTCCCAAGTAGGGGTGACGTCAGGCGATCGCAAAAAACTAACCAAAACCATTTCAGACATGATTCACAAATTGTGCCGATCCCACCTAGTGCCGATAAGGGCAGGAGGATCATGATGTTGAAAATGGTTCAAATATGTAATTACATAATTATATAGAAGCATTACTGTAACGAAAAAATAACAGTATAAAAAATGAACTGAAAAAGTGAATTTAGACTGTGAAATATTAGATAAAAAAATCGATATAACGATATTGACCATTCCATACTTCAATGTTTTTCAGTTTCTGTTGGTTTTGATACGTCGAGTTTGAGCTTGCTTCAAATCCACAGATACAAACATTTTTTGCACCTACGTGAGTGCATGATGTGTTCTTATTAAGTCGGTTACCACAGTTAAAGGAGAAACATTGATATTACCCATTTCCAGTCTATTTATGACTGACGTAGCTTCACTAGTACATTTGTGATCGCTACAATTTTCATGCACAAAACCATTCGTACAGATTAAAATAATTTATTCTTGCCTCACGAAAATCTTTAATTAAAAAAGGTACAATTAATCAAAGATTATTATTATAATACGTATATTCATTGTGGTCGTGGTTTTTGACGTTAAAATTGCTTATATTTTTGTTAATAACATTATAATCCGAATAATAGAATATAACCCTATTTAGCCAAAAAATTTCCAGGATGGATTCAGATATGTCCGGGACTAGAATAAAGCTTATTTAATGAACATACAAAATTAAAAGGTCAGTACATTTTGGTACGGCGTATGGGCATTAACCTCAACACTGCTGTGGGGGTCAGTTAAATTCGTGACATACTATTAATTATCGGTCATGATGACTTATCTTATAATATTATTTCCTGTGTAAATGAAGACGAAAATAAATTACAATCTTAAAAATTTAAAATGTACCAACTATATTTGAACTGTGTAGTTCAAGTACAGTCTAGTAATGTGCGAAGTAGAGTCGTATCGAGTAGAAAGAATGTTACGTTTATTCAATGGCTTAAATTGATGGAGTTTTGTTTCGTTTTCTATCTTGTAACTTTAGTGACAATATTACAATTATTAATATTACATATATTGTATATATAATAAATATATTTTTTTAAACGGATTAACTAAAGTTTTTTAAAAGAAAGTTGGCGAGAACAGACATAGACCATAAATTATACTCAAGATTTGATTAATAAACTTGTTTCTTTAATTTGTTTTTTATCATAACAGCACTAAGATTAACCTCAAGGAAAGAAACTAAACTGATTTCTAATAAATCAAGTATTTCATGAAAAACGGAAGTGGAAAACTATGAAGACTTGCTATGTAGCCGCGTTGATGTCTTTTACACCAGGCACATTAATGCTGCGAGACAAAGATGTAGTGATCTACAAAAAAGTAGTACTACGCGTCTTAAGTGATGGCAGGTAAAAATATAGGTCTTGCCCGTATTTTAGAAAAATAAAATTGTTAGTAATTTAAAAAAAGAACGGAAATATCATCTATTAGATCAGGGTTCAAAGCCGCATCAAATTTCCAGAAAACATTTGTTTACTCAGCGAGCTTCTTTCACCGAGTCCAATTGAGGATGAGGTAGCTTATACGTCGCCTAAAAGCTCGCGCCACTTGATGCTAATTTACGAACTGGCGAACTCAGCGACAGCGGTGCCGATATCGACAGGCGGTAGACAATAAATCCGGTTCTGACTGCAGCGGGCGGGTTGCAATTAAACTAGTGTCGCGACGAGTTCGCGACCGTGCGAAAGTGAAGCGACGGGGCACGGTGAGGGGGGATTACAGGAAGGGGGAGGGGGGCGGTGAGGGCCACGACGGAGGTGCAGACTCACCAGTCAGTGCGCTGACGCCGGCGCATACGCACGCGCCGCGAGCCGCGAGTCAACTATTGCGATGTCGTGCTAGCGCGGCGCGCCCCCATGGTGTACCCCGAAACGTCCCGCTGGGGCGCGCCCGACGCCATAGCGCCCCTCTACGATGACGTCTACCGAGGTCAGACGATTTGCAACATCTACCAGACGCGGATTAGGGCCTCCCTTTGTTTTCTGTGCCATAAGCGCTACACGTTGCAACCTGCAAGGATGACTTTTGGGGTATTGTTTCGCGGATACAAATCTGTCTACATTAATTATTATTGAATATTATTGTATAATAACACCTTACCCTAATTTCTTGCATTTGCAATCGTTTGTAGTTATGACTTCAGCTTTGTTAATTATTGGCACCCTACCCGGTATCCACCAGACCATAATTCCTATATAAACTGCTTTTTTCCAATAACGATAAATATTAATATAAAACGACAGCCCTGTATACACATAAATAACGACGGGATGAAATGAAAAATAGGAAAAATGTGTTACTGTTAATATAAAATTATAATAATGTACGTAAAATTTCAAAATTATACATCAGTGTTGCCAATCTCAATAATTTAAGTCATATTAGTGAATGAATATACAAATTTAGTATTATTTATTGCTATAATTCCACCAAAGTGGAATGTGCAAATCGGGTTTATGTTTTTTCTTTATTAAACTTGGGGCTTTGACCTCTATTATCAGACTGTCGTTGGAGATACAACAAAAAAAAAACAAAGAGACTGCCAGAGACAAGTATGCATTAACAATTATTTTTAAATTAGTGCTTCAATTTAATAATACGTATCTTGTTTTCCTCCAAATGTACCCCTTATTAGCTTTGTAGGTTTTTGGATCACGCGCCTCTACTATCAACTTTTTTATTACGGTTCCGATCAGCTGATCTCACGTGATAGACTATTGTGTGCTGTTTGATATTAATCTTTTTTTTATAGACAAAGAAAATCATCTACGTTCTGCCATTTAATAATTAAAATACATGAGGTCTTTGATTCTTGCGCATGTGTAAACGTTTTGTATGTATTGTATGCCTAATAGGCTGACTCATCTTTATGGGTACGCTTCTTAACTGTTTTATTTATAAATTTATATCTTACTGCTTTGTGTTTTGAATGTTCAAATTAATGCATTTTTGTGCCTATTTTAAAACTTTATGGAGCATATTGAGGAAAGAGCACAGTTTAATTGATTTATTTTTGTAATAGGAGGTTTATGTCAAGCTTACCACTCAACGGTTGATTAAATGTAGGTTACCTTAATATATTCCTATTAAAATTTCAACTAGTACGCTTAAAAAGTTATAACACGTTTTATTTCAAGAATCAGAACTTTGATAAAATGGAATATTTGTTTATATTTAGGACAATGCAAATAACGAAGATGGTAAGCAGTAAAGGTTCCCTGATTACAAAGATTCTGTCACGTCTCTGACCTCTTCCTACCATATTTTTTTATACAAATTATAACATGACTAACATGACAATGACATTTATACAAATTATAACATGACTAAATTTTTACAGACCAATACATATTATTAAACCAGCATCTCAATAACAAACGAGCACAACATTCAATCTGTATATATTATTTTAATAAAAAAGTAAAGTAACAGCCTATACATGTCCCACTGCTGGGCAAAGGCCTCCTCTATACAGAGGGTATCGGGGCATTGTCCACCACGCGGCACCACTGCGGATTGGCGGACTTCACATATCTTCGAAATATTTTTTTTTAAATTAAAAAAAAATAATAATAATGTATGTAATAATTAATACCTACTAATTTACTACTATATGACTCTTACGTGCTTGTCAGTTATGACTTGTTTCATATTATATAATTCAAATTAACATAATATAGGCCCTACTGTCTTCATCACTCACCTCTGGTATATGTGCACTTATGTGTACTTTCTATTACTCTCTCCTTCCACTTATTTAAACCACCTACGTAAGGTTCGTCACACGTTCACTTCTATTTAATCACATAGTTGATAATCAATTACGAAGTATCACAATTTTTATTTCAATTTCTAAATATTATTTTGGTAATTATGTCTTTCTAGTAAATAGTTTTTTGACTAAGATTTCAAATTGAGGGTCTATATAGTCTTTTGTTCATCATGCACTCTCTCCATAAATTTTGAACCAACTACATACGCGTCATATGCTCACGTACATATGCTCACTTCTTTATTATCACGTAGTTCTATTGCCAATTAACCTCATTGCTCAGGTTTATCAACAAAAACTATTTCCGGATAAGATGGCAAATAAATCGCATCATCAGTTAGTTTTTCTATTTTCAATACTTAATTTATTATATGTAATATATTATATTGCAATAATCGTAATTGTTACAATATTGTCAGTTTTAATGTATCTTTTATTTTCGTTTTTTTTTTCGTTAATTTAATTAAATTTATTTCCTTTTGAATGCTGCTTTAGTATTCCTTACCTTCATAATTTTCAAACGTTTCTCTATCGAAGCGATATTAAGTGTATAATACTTGGTACATGCAAACTGTCCATAACCCGGTGAAATCCACTTACACTCCATTACATAAAAATTGTAATGTTAACTATTTTTTTTTGTTAGATGGTAACAAATGAGCTGTCGGTTCACCTGATGTTGAGTGATGACCACCTCCCATAGACATTTAAAACACCCATTGCAGATGAATGAATGAATGAATGAAGTATCTTTATTGGACACCAGACAAAAGTGACAAAAAATTACATATGCATTGCAACTTACAACGATATATAGCAACCTTTTGTTTAAGTGGGCCCTGGTTACCTCACTCGCCAGATGAATCGCAGACGTATAACACTTCTTAACGCTGGTCTTCTGTGAGGTCGTACTTCCCCGGACCGACCTATACTGGTGTGGACTTTATAGGCGTTCGCACGACCCTCAAGATAGACAAACAGGAGCCTTCAAAAATTTGCCCGTTCCCCGAAAATCCTTAAACTAGTTTCATTTTATATGTGTAATATTCGCGTAAAACGAAGAAAACAATATTTGTTTGTTACTTTAAGAATGACGATCAAAGCGGAATTTCCTACCTTCCCCACAACCGACAGTTTATATTCCAAACGTATATGACTCGCTTTTGTCGTCGGGTGCCGCGTAACGAATGCCAATTGACAATTATCGACTACACAGGGAGGAAACTTTGTGCAAACGCTTCGAGTTTGCAAACATCTATGTGGTCGGATTTTTTCGATCGGACAAAGGAATTACCATATCTTTAGAGATGCATAGATTATTTTTACGTTTATATCAGTAGAATATTTATGATAAAAATTATCGCGTGAGACTAGATTTTTTTAGTTTTGTTTTAAAACATATTGTTATAAATTCTAATAATTAAGACATTTTTGTACATACGTGCCAGTAATAACTTCTCCAACATCACATTATATATAATGTAACATACTAATTTAAATTTATCTTACACTAAGTTAATTTTTTCAAACTTAAAATTTGTATATACCCACATTATATAAGCATATTGAAGCTGCAATCAATCATCGTGATGAGTGTTGCGGTCGATCTTATTATATTTGTCTCTTAAAATATGAATATCCGTGGTTTATAGCAGCTCCTATGAAATATTGTGTCCGAATACTATACACAAATTCTGTCCACCTACTTCGGCAATTCCGTTGTGAAACCTTATACTCTATTACAGTTTTTGAAATGTATCTCGTATATTACAATTTACTGCCTAGTTAGCGTCAGTAGAACCCATTCCGTATTATTTAATACATTTATTCAGCGTAAATATAATAAATTGCTCTCAGAGAGCCATTCTACAATGTATCAATTGACACATAATTATGATATCTATTTAAAAGATGGGTCTCGTGTTAAATATATTGTAATTTATGCAACCAAACGTAAACGTTATGTGACCTCTTAAAACAACAGATTACAACGAGTGCGCCGCAAAATTGATCCCTAACGCGTTCGTCCAAGGTGTAAAATTAAGCACCGCGTCAATTCGTGACAACTGTACAATAAGATCTTGGAATGCAGATTCTATAAGCAAAACAAATGTCTTCGGGATCCGCTTCCCGTTTTAGAGTACGCACTAAAAGTCTGTAAAGCTCTCGGTTAACAGCATTTCTGTTATAGTTTCCACAAAAGCGTAGGTGTGGAATTGGCTTCGAGGTCTTCTAGTGATGCGCCGGCCTTCGTGGAACTTAAAGATCGCGCTGAGAGACTAGTTCTCGATTGCTGTTTACAGGGAAGCAAATAAAAAAGATTTCTAGCCGCATCTCGTAAGCCAACAACATTACTTCTTGTACGGTTGATATGTTTATCCCAAACACTGAACACTCAGCTACATTAACAAAAATTAGATGATGTCAATATCATTGTGTGATTGTTTCTATGTTCCTTAATTTGTTTTTTTTAAACATTATGAAGATTCACTCCTTGAGTGTCAGTATTGTAAAGCTCCTAACTTTTATTGTAGATGAGTCAGCTACTCGGCAAACGTTGTTTTGCCATATAAATTATTTCTAGGGAATTTGGAAGTGTTTGACAGGTTACACAGACATAGTTGACAGGTACGTAGGATAGGTACAGTTTGTATGGGAAAATAAAATTTTTACCATTTCGTTTTTCCATGCAATCTTTCCATATATTCTCATAGTTTAAACCTACCCTGGACTGCGATAAATATTTAAACACAACAAAAATTTGTCAAATCGGTCCATCCGTTCTCGAGTTTTAGCGAGACTAATGAACAGCAATTAATTTTTATATATATAGATTTAAATCCAAATTATAGCAGCGGCTGCTTTACTTTTGATGTTACAACTTAATATACGCGAATACATATTATAATGTTTCATTTATATGTAACAATAACAAATCAAAATCCTTTTTAGTTTGTTAGGCTTTTAGTTAGGTTAGTTTAGGCTTCGAACAAGCTTTCAAAACGTAGTGCGAGTTACTCTCAAGACTATATAATGAAGAATCTGTCATCCATCTAACGACCATGCATGCTGTCGAGGAGTCGAACAGTTGTTCTAAAGTAATCGAGGGTCTTGTCTAAGCTTTAGAGTTCAATTGAAGCTTGAAAATTGAACTGTC